CTGCTGCTGCTGTTGCTGCTGCTGCTGCTGCTGCTGCTGCTGTGTCTCTCGTGCTTCTATTTGTTTGTCTCTGGTTGTTTGTCTGTATCTGTTCCTTATTGATTTGTCTCTGCCTACTCCTCTCTGTTTACTAATTTATATTTATATATCTATTTATTTATTTATTTATATTTATATATTTATTTATATTTATATATATTTATTTATATTTATTTATATTTATTTATATTTATTTATATATATTTATCTTACTCTTCTGGCTAGCAGGGCGGTGGAGAGCTGGAAGGTCTCCGCGGTGATTCTATCGCTGAAGCAGAACGCCACCTTCACACAGTTGAAGGTCAAGACAACGATAAAATCCTTGCTGCTGCTGCTGCTGCTGCTGCTGCTGCTGCTGCTGCTGCTGCTGCTGCTGCTGGTGGTGTCTGCTGCTGCCTGCTGCTGCTGCTGCTGCTGTGCTGCTCTGCGCTGCTGCTCTCTGTCTTCTAGGGTACGGGGCCCCTCCCATATTGTTTGTGTTGCATTTAGCTTTCTTAGGTCAAGTCGAGGCAAATTCTGCTGCTGCTGCTGCTCCTGCTGCTGCTCCTGCTGCTGCTGCTGCTGCTGCTGTTGCTGCTGCTGCTGCTGCAGTGTCTCCCTATCCTTCTGTCTTTCTCCTCCCAGCCCCTCCTCCTCCTCCTCTTTCTCCTCCCCCTGCTGCTGCTGCTGCTCCCCCTGCTGCTGCAGCTGCTGCAGCTGCTGCTGCTGCTGCTGCTGCTGCTGGTGTTTCCTCAGCAGGGGCACATGCGTATCGCCTGCATGCATGTCTGTGTCTTTGACTGTAACTTTGCGGCGCTGCAGTGTACAGGCAGCTTCGAGGCTGCTGAGCGGAAACTCCAGCAGGCTGCCGCTGCGGGTGTCTAGCAGCAGCTGCTGCAGGTCGTCAGACAAACGCACAAAGACAGACGCTGTGTCCCGGCTTGCTGCTAGCTGCAGCAGGCTCACACCTGAAACAGAACAATAAATATATAAATATATATATAAGTAAATATATAAATATATAAATAAATTAATTAATTAATTATTATGTAAATAAATAAATAAATAAATGTTCATGTTTGTGAAGGTGCAAGAAAAAGAAATAATACTTTTTGCTTCAGAGCCTTATACACAGCAATCACCAGCTAGCTAGCTAGCTAGCTAGCTAGCTAGCTAGCTAGCTAGCTGTAACTAACTGGCTGTCTAGCTAGCTAGTTATCGCTAGCTAGCTAGCTAGATAGCTAGCTAGCTTTGTTATTATTATTTGTTAGTGCTAGCTAGCTAAGTATATATACAGACAGAAATGTGCATCTGCTGCTGCTGCTGCTGCTGCTGCTACTGG